TTTTCTGTTTAGGCCTTCCTGACATTCTACTTCATCATTTGTCACTGGCTCCACTTGTGACACTTCTATGTACACTTGGACAGTTATTCCTGCCCTCTTTGTCAGTTCATTTGTGTAACTCTTTTCGGTACCAAGGATCAACTTCTGTCTGTTCATAAGATAGTAATTCACATGATCATCAGCCATGCCAACTGCATTTTTACCGCAGCTGACTGCATGCAGACATACACTACTGCAACCCCCTCCGAGTTTTTTACTTGGCTTACACAACTCACATGCTCCTTCATCTAATTTCTTTTTGTTTCCGAACTTTATGATTTCGTAGTCATTTGCTGTTCTTCATACGGAACTCTAGACTTTCTACTTTGACATGACGTAATCACTGCGCTTTGTTCAGGCGAGCTAACTGTATGTTCCCCGACTATGCCTGTGCTGCTGCTTACATCTGCCAGTGTGTGTTACTCAGGATCACTCTACGGCTACCGCCTCAGAGTTGTCTATGAGGCATATGCTCCTTGCTATGTCACTTGTTTTATTGCGCACCGGAACAATCGTCATCTCTTCTAGTGACTGCCCCCTTGGTTTTTGGGATGTGCACTCTATGCTAACATCAGTCGCCCTTTTGTCAGGATTGTGCCCCGCCGCGGTGGTCTAGTGGCTAAGGTACTCGGCTGCTGACCCGCAGGTCGCGGGTTCGATTCCCGGCTGCGGCGGCTGCATTTCCGATGGAGGCGGAAATGTTGTAGGCCCGTGTGCTCAGATTTGGGCGCACGTTAAAGAACCCCAGGTGGTCGAAATTTCCGGAGCCCTCCACTAGGCGTCTCTCATAATCATATGGTGGTTTTGGGACGTTAAACCCCACAAATCAATCAATTTGTCAGGATTGTCTAGAGGACTCCATACCTCTTCTATTATTGTGCATTCCGTTGTGCCAGTTCGTATAGGCACATGGCTATACAAGGAACTCGACTGTTCCTTCTCTGAAACTTCCTGTATGTAAAGTCATGTTAATCACGGTCACCAAATCTCGGCTGAAAGTTTTCATCACAGGCGTTCTCAAGTATGCCGTCGGAAAGAAAGACTGAATTACTCATAAAGGTCTTACCATCGGAGATCACATTGATTATCCGCTATTTGGAACTCAGATACGAAAATTCCTCTCGCCAGTCTCTACTTTTTAGTCCCCTCGTTTCGACCTTCGCCAGTTTCAGCCGCAACTGAAGCGTCTTTTGCCTTAGCTCTTCAATTTTCGTTTCCTTCTTTCTCAGTTCTCTTTCAAACTTAATCTGCTCCTCCCTCTCTTTGCGAATGTGCCTTTCACGTTCCTCACACCAAGCCACCATTACCTTGCCTTTTAGACCCATGCGTCTTGCCAACTCTTCTAGGTCTGCCTTACTCATGTTCCTGTTCTAGTGTAGAGAGGTAAGTGGTAAAATGATCTCATCCTGTCACCAGACGCCAATGTCACGAGGCTGTTTAATGGGCAAGCTCTCATGTAGGTTCGTGTAAACCAAAAACCGATTATATGTCCGTCATTTAGAAATGAGCCGACGGGACCATAATTGTTTCCACCAAATCTGCAACACTCAATATATTTATCAAACCCACAAAAGATACTAAATAACAGACAAGAACCGGAGCACGTAAAAGTAGAAAGAGGTTAACAAGATTAACAGATCAACTGCATCATCAACTGAAATACAGAGTGCTAAGATTGGCTGTATGAAATTCGCTGCATCAACTGAAATACAGAGTGCTAAAATCTGCTGTATGAAATTTGCAATGAATTTAAATATTTATAGCTCTTCACAAGAGCCTCAGAATAAATTCTCATGCCCTTGAATGTAAATCCAACTTGCTTTTCCACCAGGATTTGAAGTTAGCTGCTCCAGATTGCTCCGAAATAGAAAATTTTGCTGCTCAGAAGTGCTCCAAATGAAAAATTTTGCTGCTCCAAAGTGCTCTAAAGTGAAAACATTGCTGCTCCAAAAATTGCTCCAAATCAGAAGACCATCATCAGCATCGTGGCTGAGGCTTGGACGAGTAAAGACTAGTTTTTTTTCTGCTCCAAAGTGCTCTAAAGTGAAAACATTGCTGCTCCAAAAATTGCTCCAAATCAGAAGACCATCATCAGCATCGTGGCTGAGGCTTGGACGAGTAAAGACTAGTTTTTTTTTTTTTTTTTTTTGCCTCGGTATGGTCTCTAAGGTGTTCCTGGCCAGCCGCCGTCAGAACCCCGTAATACATATTGTCGAAGTTAGAACTTTCTTGAATTGTGCGATTGCTAATATCGACGTTGTGTGTTGTCCAACAGATCGGCTTTAGTTTGCGAACACGAACGAAGCGCTCATAGTGAGTATACTACTTATGTTTTGTCATTATTAACTTGATAGAGTTGATTATCATCTCGTCCGAGTTGCTATATCCAAGGAATCTAGAGATGAAAAAGTGTACTCGATCAGTATGTTTATCAGCGTTGAACTTGCTAGACTCGGTCATCATGTCATCTCAGTTGATAATACCAAAAAATCTAGAAATTAAAAGCTGTACTCGTTCAGTATACTACTTAGCACTGCGACTTGAAGTTGATCACCTGGGGTGACAAGCATGCATGAAGGCTCTTAGAAGGGTGATGATATATTATTCTTTATCGTTCTAATGGAGCTGCTTTGCAGAATATATACAGCGTCCTCAAGAATGTGATGATTTGTGCTACACGCAATGCCCCTTAACTCATGCGGGGAAAGGAGTACTGCTTTTTGGCCTTTCACCGAGAGTAACCATTAGACCCTTCCTGCATGGTGGTCATCTTTTGAACTAAAATTGGCAATTTTTTTTTTCTCTTGCGAGAAAGTCCATTTCTGCTGAGGAGTTCACCATTTTTTCAATAAAACTTTGTTTCCCACCAAAAATCGAGTTGCGGGCATGAAAGATTTAAAACAATTGGGAGGGGTCAACAAGCTTAGGGGTGCGTAATGTTGCCCATGGGCAATATTTCATCACTGCGGACATGAGAACGAGTCATAAGAGAGAAGTGCAGGGATCAATTTTTTAAATGAAGGGTTTGCACTGTAATATATTTGGAAAATGTAATCGTTGCAGTCTACTGTATGAATTGGTTCTTGTTTGGGGGCGTAGGTCAAGTGTCCGTTGTGTGATCCTCCGTAGCGACCAGAAGCGGGAGAGTGGCTCACCTAGTGGTTGAGGGCTGCTGGCCTCGGTGCAAATGGGGCAGCGCAGTCTGGCTACACGCAGTTATGTTTGTAGGCTTGCAGCTCACGGCAATGTTTTGGGAGGCCACATGGCTACATCACTAAATATCAGCATAACAGCACTACTACTTATGTGTGAGACCCAGGCGAATACGGCTTTGATGCAAACCATGTCCAAAGCCAGGGTTGCCACCGACTTTCAAGTAAAATTCACTAAACAGTGAGAATGAAGTCGCCATTTTTCTTGAGATATTGCTAAAAACGTTGCCACTCTATATGTGTTTGCCATTCATAGTAAAAAGTTCGCAAATTATCTGTAGCCCCATACAATACAGTAATATCGAGAACCCCCAAATTATATTGACATTTTTCATTGCCAGTCGCATCTGCCGGTTTACTATGGGAGTGCTTGGTGCGCCTGGTTCCCCGACTAGCCATGAGATGCACTTGGTGACACAAGAGCAACACCCTGTTATGAATTAACGCTTATGATAATCCTTTCATAGCAATCGGCTGAACACCAGAAACACGGAAATAACCTTTTCGAAAATACCCTGCTGTGTAACCTTCACAATGCGCGCACCAACCTTTTTGCGTGGCGAAGCTTACGCTACACAATATGCAGTCTCACTGAAGTTGCTGAAGGCTGCTCAGAAAAGCTTTCTTGGTGTGACCGAAAAATGGGTTGATAACAAAATGAACTCTACGTAGTCAATTAGGAGGTACTGCAACAGTGAAAAAGTCGACAAGCTATTCAGACAAGTTCGAGCTTTGGTCGGAACACGCGGCCTAACCATCGTCTAGCCGCTTCAGAAGCCAAACATTAGAGAAGCTTAAAGCACCTTAAAGAACTTAGTTTAATGCCGCAGCCTCGCGGCAGGCGAAGCAATCTGCTGACCTACACTTTGCTGGTAGGTCTCTGGTGGACGCACCAGTAGCTCCATAATTTGTAATAATCAAGAAACAGGACTGACGTACTGAAGTGCGCAAAAAGTGTGACTTTAACTTGTGAGTCGAAAAGAAAGAAAAATAGAAAGAAACGCTGCTCATTTTTTGGGGAAGACAGTGAGAATAGAATGCATAATTCAGGGCAAAGTTAGTCGAAAAGAAAGAAAAATAGAAAGAAACGTTGCTCATTTTTTGGGGAAGACAGTGAGAATAGAATGCATAATTCAGTGCAGATGTAGGCTGAAAATCGCCCAAAATTTGCCATGTCGCTATTCCTAATTTTAGGTCGCCACAGCCTTTCAAATTTGCCAATTTGGCAAAAAGTAGCCACCAGTGGCAATCCTTCCCAAAGCCCATAGGCCCAAGCCTTGCCCACAGGCCGGTTTTTCAGGCCAGCCCCCGTGCAGTGCTCTCAGGGTGTATGTGCGTTGGTTGTCAACTTAAGTCAAATTGCAAGCGCAATGTCACAGCATAACAGTGCACATAAAAAAGCAGTGGAGATGGCCTATATATATAGAGAGAGACTAGTGTCGTCGCTTTGTTAAGATTTTAAGCGTGTTATGTTTGCCCTTGCCGAGAAACAAAACCCATCTCAAGCATATGATGTATCGTCTTGTTAGCAGGCGACAAAGTGAGAAAAGCCATTTCGATACAAAGATGTGCACAAATCATTCAGATTGAGATAGAGGCTGTGAAGTGCCGATTTCATCCATCTTAAATCTGCACTGATTTAAGTAACCATATGAAGGCACTTTTTATATGACTTGCTAAGTGCCTTGTTACACTAGCCACATAATCTTAAACTTCTTTACTAAGTATGAAAAATTGTTATCCTTGCAGATTAAAAATGTGATCTACCATGCCGTGAAGGATGCGGTGGCGATACTCCGGGCAAATTCTGCTTCAAACCCCAACAAGAAATGAAATGTGCGTGCTATAGGCAATGTAACAAAAAAAAAATGTTAGAGCTCCTCCCAACCTCCAAAGGATCTTTGGCCTGTGCTGCTCTTGAATGTGTCTGGCAGGTCTTGACTTGCCCACCGAAGGTGTTTGTGCCATCTCTTGTTTGGACACTGTTTTTGTACATTTTTTTTTCTTTTCATGAGACCGCAAGCCAGTGTGTGTGTATTCTCCTGTTATGCAAACCATTGAATTTCTTATGTTGCTAGTACGCTTCCTTTATCGTTACTTGGTCAGGGGCCAGCTGTACTTGTATTGTAAAGGAAACAGATCAAACATGTGCGAAAGTGTGTGCATGTTTGTGTGTGTGTGCACACATGAGTGTTGTGTGCACCAACAGCTCTTATTTGTGCTGTAGACTTTCTTCTGCGCCCCTCTTTAACAGTGCTCCTGCTGGCTATGTTCAGCATTTCTTCAGAGCAGCATGCTTTGAGAGACAACAACAATGCAGTCTTTTTCTACACTGTTGCCATGTAAAAGTAAAGTGTTTTACTTATATATACATAAGAAGGTGTGTGTGTATATATATATATATATATATATATATATATATATATATATATATATATATATATATATATAAACGAGGGCAGTGAGCTCCATGCCCACTGCCCTCGTTACTAGACATATATTTCTTTATAAATGTGGCATTGTAGTTGCTTCTGTTCTGTCGTTCCTTATATATATATATATATATATATATATATAAACGAGGGCAGTGAGCTCCATGCCCACTGCCCTCGTTACTAGACATATATTTCTTTATAAATGTGGCATTGTAGTTGCTTCTGTTCTGTCGTTCCTTAAACTCGTTTCATTTCCTGAATTTGTTTATTTTCATTGTATTTTTTCACAATCACCATCTCATCGGTGTAGTCAATACCATTGATTATTGTTATTTTAAGACTCACAGTAGTACTGAGTTTGTACATGTACCTATTCCATAGCAATATTTTTATATTGAAAATGTCATTGACTGTAATGTCAGTCTATAATGAAAATCACTGTTTTTATTTGAAGGTGTTTGGCTGATGTTAATGGTTCTTAATAAATTGTCCATTTGAAAGCCTACTTGGACTTTGGATGCCCCCCCCCCCCCCCTTTTTTTCATGCAATAATCTGGACCGAGTGGCTCACATATTTATTAAACAAGCTTTGGAGGGAGACGCTGCCGGGCAACGCAACGCTGCGGGACGCGCTTCACGTCGGCTCTGCCTTTTATGAATATGTTCCGCAGTTTTATTAAGTCAAATACCTGGCAATCGACCACCAACAGATAGAGCGGGTCCATCCGAACGCTTTGACACCAAAAACTTAGGTGAGAGACTCTTTTTGAAGCTTTTTCGATGTGAAAAACCACCCGAGTTACAAGTGTGCCCAGCTAAGCCTACACTGACAAGGCCGACGTCGGCCTCGGGAAGGGTGATCAACGGTGCCGAGCTGTTAGCCAAGGGATCGGACGCACCTCCGAAATAGACGTCGATGATGCAGAAGTTGGGGAAACTTCAAGTAATGATACCAGAGAGGACGATAGCGATCCAACGAGACGGTGACGCAGAGGGCTGGATCAAAGTCACGTATAAAAGAAAGGGCCGTGTGAGCTCTGGCGAAGAGACAGTACAGAAAGGCACCCGCTCGAGAAGTCCGACGCGCAGAGGTGTGAAGAGCATCGTGAGCAAGATTTTACAAGTAAGCAAGATGCCAAGGCTACCTGCAGATGACATCAAGATAATTGTCAGACCAAGAGACGGGCTGAGCATTAGACACGCGTGCAGAGCTAGCCTTGACGAAGCGATACGGCTAGAAGCAGGGGTGAGCAACGACGAAATGTTAATGATCTGCCCCAACCCTACACAAAATATCCTGGTGATCAGCACACTGGATGAGAAGACGGCGACAAATTCATCAAAATCAAGGATTTAAAAATCAACGGGAGGAAGTACGAGACCAACACGTACGTCTCGGCACCGGAACACATGGCCAAGAGGATAATTCGCAACATTCCCCTGAAGTACACACATGATCAGGTCATGCATGCCCTAGTGAACGCGAGGAATCCTTCATTGGCGTACGCCAAGAGACTGGGGAGCACGACTACCGTGATACTATTGTACGAAGGCAGCAGGGTCCCCATGTGGGCCTACTTCAACAGCATCATGATGAAAGTTTCCCTCTACCGGAACCAAATAGACTTTTGTAAAGAGTGCGGGAGGCGCGGGCACAGGCCCGATGTGTGCCCTAGACCAACAGACAAGTTGTGCTGGCGTGTGGTGCCAAAAATCCTACCAGAGACCATGAAAGCACTCCCAAGTGCAAGCTCTGCGGAGACGCACACCCCACGGCAGACTGGACTTGCAGGGCTAAATTTAAGACGCCATACTTCGTAAAGCAACAAAGGCGGGCTGCGAGGAGAAACGAGAAAGAACTCCAGCGGGAAGCCGACTCACCAGACCAGGACACCTGGGGAAGCAGCCACACACTACCAGCCCGTCAACCCACATCAAGGTCCAGATCCAAGTCCAGGCTGGGAGCCTGGGGACTACGTCGCTTGGGGTCAAGGTCCAGAAGCAGACCCAGGTGCGGGCGGAGATCCACCTCGAGGGGAAGGACGCCCGAAGCGACAACGAAGCAGCAAGGAGAACAGCTAGAAGACGCAGACAAGGTGGGCTGGTCAGACGTAATGGCCAATCGCGATTCGGCAAGGTCCGACAATAATAGTAGCGCTAGGGATAATTACAGAGACATAGAGAAATGCGTAGAGGAATACAGAACGGAAAACAAGCTACTCAGACAGGAGCTAGAAAAAGCAAAAAAAAAGGAAATCGGCTAAAAAAATTGAACTACAGTGAACACTTGATGAAATACTCATGAAAATGCAGATACAGACGTCGCCTCCGTCGACCGCCATCGCGGCCTTCTCCACGCCAGCGACCAAAACCACAGGAGAGAGAGAATGAGGAGGTAGAAATGGTAGCTGTGGAAACACAGCAACCAGGCGCCAAGCGAAAACTCCCGCTGACGAAGACCAAAGAGCAAAATGACTCAAAAAGAGGTCAAGAGGCCCCGTTCTAGCACGAAAAAAACAGACATCCTCGAGGACATGATAAACAAACTGTCGGACAAAATGGAGAAAATGTTCGAGATGCTGGTCGCGCGACTTGGCGACAGTGAGGCGGAGAGTAAGGCGCTGGTTCTAAAATACGACAAGTGACTCGAAGAGCTAGAAAAGAAAATTTGTTAGACGTGGCAGGCACCAAAATGAGAAAACTCGTCATATGGCAGTGGAACTGTCGTGGCTTTTCTAATAAAAAAGCATCGATGGCGCAACTAATCAAAATCACCACAAAAAGAAAAAAAAAGCCTGACGTGATCATTTTGCAGCAGACATTCGACCACGCCAAAATTGCCGGGTATGCCACCCACAAACAACGCACAGAAGGAGAGGGGAGAGATATAGTCGTGACCACCCTAGTGAAGAAGGGGCTAGTTGCTATCCCACACATTATGAAGCAAGTCACGGATATCAACCACATTCTTATAGAAGTCCTGCCACACAGCAAAAAGGAGAGCACCACTTTTGTCCTAAACGTATACAGCAGCCCGTCTAAAAAGGACCTTAAGCATAATTTCGAAGAACTAATTAACGAAGCGATGAACATCGCAGGCGACAACCGACTTGTTATTGGAGGAGATTTTAACGCTCCACACACGCAGTGGGGATATGGGCACTCGTCGAAGAAAGGAAAAAACCTTGCCGACCTCATCGAAAAGGCCGAACAAACCATTCTGAATGAGCCGGCCTCGAAAACCAGAATCGGTGTAGGTCCGCACAGGGACACCACGCCGGACCTAACCCTCTGCAAGAACGCCGGGCGAATCACGTGGGAAAACACCTTTGAAGACCTGGGAAGTGATCACAGGATCCTCAGCATCGCCCTAGGCAATCCTCCCACCAGGAATTGCAAACGGACAATCAGGCGCGTAGATTGGGACAAATTCCGCAAAATCAGAAACGAGAAAAAACAGGGACCCATCGAAAACATAGAAGAATGGAGCAGGGAACGTCTACGAGACGTAGAAAAAGCCACAACCGAAATGGAGTGGGATGACTCGTTGGCTCGACGAGAAGAGGAAGATGAGTGTGGCGGAACCCTCTCAATGCGGATGGACAGCAGGCGCTTGCACACCTTGTCGAAGCCAAAAAATCTATTCAGAAACGGCTGCATAGGCAAAAACACAATCGAAATTTAAGGAGAAAACTCGCCGAGCTTGACAAACACTTCGAAACACACTGTACCCAGCTATGCCATCAGGAATGGGACGAAGTGTGCGATGCCATGGACGGCAACATAAACACAGGCAAGACATGGAAAATCCTCAAGCACCTGCTGGACCCGTCGGCCACCAAAACGGCGGTGAAAGCGGAAATGACCAAGTTAAGACACATGTATAAAGGGAGCATCCATCAGATGGGTGATGAAATCGTCAAGCTCTATCTCGGCAGACCCCCGGCAGTCGAACACCAGGAATACTCGGGTTCTCCCAACGAAGATCTTGACAGAGACTTTTCACAGCAAGAAATCAGGGCAGTCCTGCAGACTATCAAGACCAAGTCAGCTCCAGGTCCCGACAAAGTGTCCAACAAGATGCTCCAAAACCTGGACGACCAGGGAACAAGCCGTTTGACAGACTTCACGAACGAGTGCTGGAGAAAGAAGAAGATGCCCGACGAAAGGAAGAAATCAGACGTGATCCCCGTTCCTAAGCCGGGTAAACCCCTTGAAACCCAGAACATGCGGCCCATCTCCCTGACTTCTTGCCTCGGTAAAGTAATGGAGCATGCTTGCCTGAACAGGGTTAACGGCTACCTTGAGTCTAACAACGTATACCGCAGCAACATGATCGGCTTCAGAAGAGGGCTCTCCACACAAGATGCCACGATACAACTAAAGGAGCAAGTCATA